TACTGGAAATGTTTCCATATAGTTTTATGTATCACACGATACCTGAACTATGGCCTATTGCTGTATAATAAACTTTAGCTTAATAGAGGCTTGCAGCTTAACCACTGAGCAAGGATTACTAATCCTCATCAAGAAATATTTCTTTTTTTTTTTAAAAAAGTGCGTTAGTTTTGCAAAATCTTTATTGATAATAAAAAATATAAGAAAATTACATAAAACAAAAGTTATGAAAAACTCTATCTAAAATATAAAAAATACTATCCTAAATCAAAACCGACCCTGCACTTTCCCATAATCAAATACAAAAAAGAAATTTTATATCATCACCTTCCAGTAAACCAACTAGAGAAAAAAAAGAGCTTGGTCCCTACTGCACCAAAAATTTGACCAATGCGATCCTAAACGGACCATCTTAGAAATTAAGTCAGTGAAGAAAAGTTAGCATATGGGAGCTGATCTATTAAAAGTGGGTTACGAGACATAGTAAATCATATGATCCATACCTCAATTTTAATAGAATACTACCCATATTATAAGTGAAACTGGTAGCCAAAAGCCTCTATATGAGTACGTTTAAACACATCAGTTATATTATGTAATCTTTTAAAGTCTTTAAAAGCTGAGCATCTATCCAGCTAAATGGATTGTATTTGAGTAAAGATAAAATGCATAAAGTCTGAGATTGCCGCCGATGTGGATTTTTTTGAGGTGAAATGCGAATAAATGAAACTATATAAGTCAAAAGGAATAATTCCTTTGATCAAGTCCACAAAAGTGAAGTTAGTTGCTGACGATAGGACCAAATATCTAATGTTTCCAAAGATACGGTAGCATCAAGTTAAAGAGCATTAATTAAATATAGTTTTGCTTCTTTGATGAGTTAAAGCATCGCCGGTTCTCTAGATGAGCAGGTCCAAATGTGATTGAAGTCTTCATGTTCTGAGTTACAACAGAAACAGAGCCAAGCGTTATCGTAAATTGAAGGGTATTGTTTGTTAAGGACTACCATTATAGGAAGCATTTCAAGGACACGTTGAAGTTTTTTTATTTTGATCGAAGTCATCTCAAATGTAGTAAACGAGGGAGTGTCATTATCTGAAATATAGACTGTTATTGCAACCCAGTTAATATTGAGGTTGATATATTTATGGTTGCCATCAAGATTCAAAAAAGAAATTAGATGTGCAGAACGAGTGATGTTTTTGATAAGTGGTCTTATAGGAATCGCAATTGCAAATTGGTGAAGATGTAGAGAGGGATGAGATTGATCAGAAGGCGTTATGTATAAGGCATTTGAATTAAGTGCATCTTTTGCCATTGTGTCCACTTTCTCATTGAAATTTACTCTAAAGTGGGCTTTCACTTTGTGCATTGTGATCTTTAAAGAGAATGACTTGATAGCTTCAAATAAGCATCGCCAAATGTGTATATTACTGATTTTGAGGAAAAGTCTTTGTGATAAAGAGATTGCTAAAAGCAGCTCATATTTTTAAATTGCAAAATAACAGTGGCAGAATCTGTAAATATTTTGATACAGCAGGCTTTGGAAGCAACCAATATGGCTGTAAAGATGGCTACCAGTTCAGCTATCAATGAAGATAGAAATGAAGCTGTAAGCGCTGTCGCAAAAAAAAGCAAAGAAGAAACAGATGCATTTTGAATCCAATCCAGTTCCATTCTCAGAGAAGAAATACTTAAATTAACTAAAATACTGTCAGTAAAAAATACTAAGTAAGTTGATAAAGAAAATTGATTTCAAAGATTTAATAATAGTGATGCATGAGGTTGAAGTATAAATGTTTCTATAAGTGGTGAATAAGTACGAAGTATGAATGGAACATTAACAATATTAGGTTGAGGTCTATTATAAATTACAAATTTGAAAAAGACGAGATCATTAAGAAAGCTAGAGACCAAGCATAATAGGGCACAGATTCTGACTTGTTTTGGTAAATAAGAATCTGAAAACACAAATCCAAAGAAACTGAAAAAAAGCAGCATGTCTTTTTTTATTTTACAGAAAATCCTTGGAGACGAATGCCAGGAAGTCGTAATAGTTACATCTAGAGCATTCATTGAGAAGAGTTTTGTGATTGCATCCCACCGTCGGTACAAAGTGCATCACGTGAACTTGGTCAGAATCGACTTTCAAAAGTTGTCTGATGAAAGGTTTGTTGTCCCCATATGCTAACCTAATACAAAAACATTTTGTTTTTATTTTTGACAGGTAGTAGAAAGTTATAATTAAACAATACAATATATTGGAATTGAGAAACTGTATCACGAGAGGAGTTATCCTTAAGAAGCGCAGTTTGTAATATATAGTACTATTTAGGAGATTTGTTGAATGTGGAATGTTGGATCTGATATAGTGATCGAAGAATGTGAACATCTGATTACCATCAGAATTTACTAATTGTTCCATGAAAAGTAAGGAGTATTTTCACAGATCATTGGCGATGTTTCAATATTTGGTTGGAATGAATGATAAAATCAGTGTAATTTCACTACGTTTGAGGTTGGTTTGAATATCTTCTATATTGAAATTAAGGTCTAATTGTTTCCAGTTACAAAGCAGACACGAGAGCCAGTCTTTGAAACTTGTGGTATTATCATAAGGCCATTCGATGAGGAGTGATTTGTGAAGCCACTCCTTACATTGCAATTGTTGAATTTAAATTTTTATAGTATCACCCATAACACCAATGTCATTCATCATATAGGGAGAACTTCACTGTGTGCTGTCAATAAGCGTTGAAAGAGATCTGATAAATTATAAAAATAATGTGAAAGAAGAATTGAAAAAAGTGTATCACGTGATAATTTGAGTTTTTCTTCATAAAAGTGAGAAATGGCATTGTAATTTGCTTGCACTGATGTTTGGTGAAGTAAGTCAATTGAGAACAATATTCAATTCGTGAAATAAGAACTAAATTGTAAATATAAATGATCTGTTTATCTGTAAGTCTTTTAGGAGACAAATTGGCTACCGCTAATTTGATTTCGTTGGTAAGTGATTTATTAATAAATGTTTTATTCGTTTCTAAAGAAATCAAAACCCCTAGATATCTAATAGAATCATTGTTGAGGAGTGGATAGATAGTTGTCGTATCATTAATGGATGGCAGAGTAATAGGTTGACACAGACTATCTTTATTTGTTAGAAGTACGGATTTGTCCCAATTGACTTTGATGAAGTTTGACTCATAGAATCTATCAGTGATTTCATTATGTCTGTGAGGTCCTCTCGAGACTTCACTATCCACAATGTGTCATCCATATAGGCAAGCGTAAAGATCTTAATAAAAGTTGTCGACTGAGTGTTGGTAGAAATATCAGGTTTTTACTGATGAGTCATATTGTACCCCAAAGGAGAGTTATGTATTCTATATAATAACAGATCGTAATAGATACATCAAAGAAGCGGAGATATTATTTCTTCTTGATCGATACCAGATACCACTTGATATGGGTCAGTATTGTCAAAGAAAGAAAAAACCTGATTGAATCAATTTTCGAACATTTTAAGGATGAATCTAATGAAATTAAAGGGAATGTGAAGTCGTTTGAGTATTCTAATGAGCATAAACAAGTTTACTCAATCGTAAGCTTTAGACATATCCTGTGAAATTATCCAGAGGTTCTTATTATTCGTGATGGAGTCGAATTTAATATTGTTCACTATACGAAGTAGTTCAAAAGTTGATTTATAAGGCAGGCCCATGAAATTGAGCCCTTTGAGTATATTGTGTTAAATAATAATTGTTGAAAGTCTCTGATTGAGCAACTTGATAAGAGTTTTTTGAGGCATTCTATAAGTATGATGGTTCTAGTATTATTAAGATCATACTCCCATGGTTTCAGTTTTGGTATCAGGTAAATGAATGTGATATTCCACTGATGTGAAAGATTTGACTCCGATAAGCAATGGCGGATGATACACCAAAGTAATTTATTCGCATGTGGATCAAGGTGTTTTAACATTTCATTTAATACTTTGGAAGGACTAGGGGTCTTACCGTTTGGCAATATAGCAAGGATATCATACCATTCAATAGTCATGGGTAGGGTCATGAGTCCATCATATACAGTGAACTCTTGATATAACGAATTCTAGGATCTGGATATCAACTTCGTTATAAGCTTATAACGAATTTTTTAAAGAATTTAATTGGCTAGTTCACTATAGTAAAGGTAATTTTAATATATTTGATTTAAAAATACGCTATATCAAGGGTTTGCTATATCAAGGTTTGACTGTATAGAGCTGTTAATACTATCGAGAGGCTTATAAAAAGAATTCCACTCGTCTGGTATATCGATATTCTCATGCGAAGTACTAGCAGCTAACTGGAAGTGCTGATTATCTCTATTTTTTACAAGTATTTCGTCTGTTAGATGATTACATAATCCAGACGCATGATCGAGACATCTATTTAACACTATTGTCTGTTTTGATTGATTAAGTACTGAGTTGATAATTTGGAAAGGAATGGCCACATAATTATCCCACCTGCTCTATATTGCTTGTTATATTGATTCTAACTTAAATTCTTATTCATGAAGTTTAGTCTTAATTAAGAAACAATTAAGTAATATTTTAACGTACAGAAACAAGAACATAAGAAGTAACGTGTTCAGTGTGAGAGTAACGCTATCAGATGATATCTGAAAACGTTAGAGATCTCATGGAATTTGTTGTAAATTATGGACCAATCCTCAGGTAACTTATCAGACTTGTATGCTGTCTTGATTTTCTTATTAAACTTATATAAGAATCTAAGGTTTTTATAAAGTTTGATTAACAAAAGAGGTTTCTTTAGTCTATGTTGTCCAGAAGATTTATGTGATGAAATTATGTTATCAGTAGCTTTGATGATATAGGCTTGCAACAAGTCCCAGTAAAAATTAAGTTTGGTCTGATTTAATTTTGTGTTGAACCTTAAGTGACGCAATTTATAAGGGCATCCATTTTGTGTTTATATTCTGTCCAGAGCTCATCATTCATTTTGTCGTAGTTGTAAATAGTTTTTTTCAGAATGTTGTGTTTGTTGTTTTTTACTTCAAGATAATTATTAGTTGAACAAATCACAATTGAATGATCAGAAATTTGTAGTAACACAGGTACGGTGTTACAAGTATTGAAGTTGTAGGCATATTCTGAAGAAGTCCAAATGAAGTTGATACGAGAAGTTGTAGTTGTCGATTTGAAGGTTGGATAATTAACTCGATCATTACTGTGTTTCAATGTGCATGCGTCGAACATATGCAAATTTTGAAGCAACGTAAAAAATTCTTTTGCGTCCTTTGGGTTTTTAATTCTATTCATATCTGCATTAAAGTCTCCAGTTAAAACAATGTGAAAATCTTTGGAAGTAACCTCATTGATTGTTTTTAATAATTCCTTTTGTATCATTTTTCTTATTGAAATATCGGATGGAGGCAAATAACAATTGATGAATCGTAATTTTTGTTTGTTGGTAAATTGGAGGTCGACATAAATAATTCTATTGAGCAATTGTTTATGGTAAAAAACATGATTGACCAGTAATGGCTATAATAAAATGCCTACGCCAAAGCCAGTTTTGTTAGGAGATGATTCAGAACTGAAAAAACCTATGAAATTAGATGAGTGTTCAAAATTAAACGATTGAATGTGTTGTTAAATGAAATGAGTTTCTTGTAGACTAATAGCATCTACATTTAAGAAAAGATATTGTTCAATAAGAGAGTGTTGTTTAGCGGTATTAGTGAAGCTGTGGACATTATGTGAAGCAAAATTTAAAAGTGGAGGTGGAGTATGATTTAAGGGAGTTGTGTTAGAAATTGATGTATCTTGTGCATTATTATAAGTAGAAACAGTGTTCATAATAAAATTAAAATTTTTGGATGTCATTGAGGTAATACTTGACTTCATCATCAAAAGCTACTCTAAGCGGGAAGATGTTATTAGCTTGTTCTTGCAGAAGCAAATTATTTTTAATTAAGATGCTTTGAAAGGTACTGCAGAAATGAGCTAGCGTATTAATGGTTGCCGTAAATGACTTGAGACAAGATTGATGCAACTCATTACTACGCAGTACATTAATAATTTTTTGTTGTTTGGCGATGGTTGAAACAGATACATCGATATGTGGTTCAATATTATTGATCATTTCATTAGAGTTTATATTGTGTACCTCAGCCTTGGTTGGAGTGACAACTTTAAAGTTGAGTTATCGTTCAATGGATTCAACACGTTTGATTGTAAATGCCAAGTTTGTTATGATGGTAACTAGATTCTCCTCTAAGTTCACGAATTGTGATTTGATGAATGCCTTAAAGTCATCATCATTGTTTGCGTGCATAGAGCCACCTGCTTTTGTACCTTTATATATCATACCATTAGGTGTGAGGTAAATAGTATTATCAAAGAGGATTTCTTCGTTCATATTTGGTGGGACATTGTCAGATCATGTACCAGATTGTGAATTACGTTTATTTTCAAATTGTGAAGGTGGTTTGTTACAGTTGTTATTTTTATTATTAGAATTGTTGTTATTGTTATTGTTTCTTGGTGAAGTGGATTGTTGAGTGTTATATGTGATCGATAGTGGTTTAGTGACATGGCAAAAGTAATGTCTGGGTTTACTGCACCTCTCATTTTTTTAGGTGGAACCTTGTAGTTAGAATACTGCGCTGGTTAGAATCTCTGATAAAGATTTGCATGTTATGATCAGCTGGAGATTTCCTACATCGTGGACATCTATTAGCTTTGTGATTTGGGGAAGAGCAAATCGTAAAAAGTTTAGCCTTTGATTCAGTCCAAGTCACATGTTTGCCATTTATAGTAAGATTATCATTTGAAATTGCAGCCTCGAAATCATTTGCAGTGGCAAAGTAGAAAAATACATGTTGTAAATTTTGGTAGTTAGACCGGGCTTTAGGGATATTTCAAGCAGTAACGTCAACCATCTTTTCAATTTGGTGATAGTGGCTTGTTGCTTCATATTCTTTGTTTTCATTGTGAAATGAATGATCATTCTGAATCTTGCAAATGTCATCTTAATCTTGTGTTCCATAGAATCCAGAAGGATTTCTGTCACCTTAATCGACATTGCAGGAACATAAGGTTGTGCTCGTATAAATTTGAGGGGTAAGAACGTGTAGTTTTTTTAATTGGATAATGGAACTGAACACGTATGATCTCGTTCTTCTTAGTTACGAAAGGAAATTTTAAGTATGCGTTGTGATTGGTCATTTGGGTGTTTTGTTAGATTTGCTCCTGTAAACGAATCGCATTTGTTAAAAAGCAAGTCAACAACAAAAGAAACTTTTTGCTGCAGTGACGTTCCTGGAAATTCTTTGAGAGGAAAATATCCATAGAAAGAAGGTTTTTGTCGTTCAAAAGCTTGTAACGATGTTGTATTTTTGTCAAAAAAGTTCTCTGATGCGTTAAAACTAGTGTTAACGTCAAGAGTAGTGGTGGTATTTTCTGGGGTCTCTTCCAAAGTTTCTTTCTCTTTGCATTTTTTTGAAGGCAAAGGGTCGACTTCCATAGTAATAACTAGTTCTGGAGTCTCAGTAGTTTGTTAAGTTAGTGGAGTATCCACAGTTTTCGTTGTATTTTGTTTTTTATTTTTTTGAGTTGATAAAGTAGAAGACAAACGTTCTCGTTGTTTGTTTTTTTGCTTGCTGTTTTTATTAGTCATTTTTAGGATAAACAAGAGAGAGTCGCCAAGAAATATTTTCAGTTTTTTTTTTTTTTAAAGTTGGGTAGTTTTGCAAAATCTTTATTAATAATATAAAATATAAAAAATTACATCAAACAGAAGTTACAAAAATCTCTATCTAAAATAATAAAAATACTACTCTAAATCAAAACCGACCCTGCACTTTCCCAGAATCAAACATAAAAAAGAAATTTTACATCATCACCTTCCAGTAAACCAACTAGAGAAAGAAAAGGGCTTAGTCCCTATTGCACCAAAAATTTGACCAATATGATCCAAAACGGACCATCTTAGAAATTAAGTCAGTGGAAGAAAAGTTAGCATATGATGAGTGAAGCTGGTAAACAGACGCCTCTGTATGAGCATGTTTAAGCACATCTATTATATCTTGTGATCTTTCAAAGTCTTTGAAAGCTGAGCATCTATTCATCTAAATTCATTGCGTTTGAGTGAATATAAAATGCATAAAGTTCGAGATTGCTACCAATGTGGATTCCTTTGAGTTGAGATTTGAATATACAAAGTTATACAATTTGGAAGGAATAATTTCTTTGATCAAATCCACAAAAGTAAAGGTATTTGCTAACGATAAAGACCAAATATCTAATGTCTATAAAAATACTGTATTATCAAGTTGGAGAGCGTCGATTAAGTGAAGTTTTACTTCGTTAATAAATTGAGCATCTCCGATTCTCTGGATGAATAAGTCCAAATGTGGTTGAAATCTTTATGTTCTGAATTACAACAAAACAGAGCCAAGAGTTATCATAAAGTGAAGGGTGTCGTTTATTAAGGACTATCATTGTAGGAAGCATTTCGAGAACGCGTTGAAGTTTTTTTATTTTGATCAATGATATCTCAAATGTAGTTGATGATGGAGCGGCATTATCCGAAATATAGAATGTCGTTACAACCCAGTTAATATTGAGGTTGATATATTTGTTATTGACATTAAGATTCAAAAAAGAAACTAGATATGCAGCACGAGTAATGTCTTTGATGAGTGGTTTAATAGGAGTCGCAATTGCAAATTAATGAAGATGCAGCAAATGATGAGATTGATCAAAAGGTGTTAGGTGTAAAGCATTTGAATTAAGTGCAGCTTTAACCAAAATGTCTACTTTTTCATTGAAATTTACTCTAAAGTGGGCTTTTACTTTATACATTGTGATTTTTAATAAGAATCACTTGATAACTTTAAATAAGCATCGCCAAATATGTAAATTACTTATTTTGAGGAAAGGTCTTTGTGAGGGAGAGATTACCAGGAGCAGTTCATACTTTTTGAATTGTGAAATCACCATAGCGAAATTCGTAAATATTTTAACATGTCACTCTTTTGGAGCAACTAAAATGGCTGTGAAGATGGTGTCCAGTTCTACTAATGATGAAGATGGAAAAAAAGCTGTGAGTGCTGTCAAAAAAGAAAGTAGAGGAGAAACAGATGCAGTTTGGATTTAAGCCAGTCACATTCTCAGAGAAGGAGAACCTAAATTAACCAAAAAGCCATCAGTAAAAAATTCTAATAAGTTGAAAAAGAAAACTGATTACAGAGTTCTAATAATTGTAATGTATGAGATTGAGGTATAAATGTTTTAATAAGTGGTGAGATGTAAAATGAATATTAACATCATTGGGTTGAGGTCTATTATAAATTATAAATTGAAAAAGGCGAGATCATTAAGCAAAGCTAAGGATCAAGTACAATAAAGAAAAGATTCTGATTTATTTTGGTAAAAAGGGATTTGAAAATACAAATCTAAAAGAAGTGAAAAGAAACAGCATGACTTTTCTTGTTTCACAGAAAATCCTTTGGAGACGAAGGCCAGGGAGTTTTAATAGTGACATCTAGAGCATTCATTGAGAAGAGTTTTGGTATTGCATTCAGCCGTCGGTACAAAGTGCATTACATGAACTTGATCAGCGTCAACTTTCAAAAGTTGTCCTATAAAAGGTTTGTTGTCACCCATATGTCATCCTAGTACAAAAACATTTTTGTTTTTATTTTTGATTGGTGGTGAAAAGTCATAATTTAATGATACAATATGTTGTTAACGAGTAACAGTATCGCGAGAGGAGTTGTTCTTAAGAAGCGCAGTTTGTAGGATGATATACCATTTAGGGGATTTTGGTGAATGTGAAATATCAGATTTGATACAATGATCGAAAAATATGAACATTTGATTGCCGTCAGAGTACACTAATTATTCCATAAAAAGTAATGAATATTGTCTCAAGTCGTTGGCGATGACTCTATATTTGGTTGGAATAAATGATGATATTAGCGTCTTTCCACCAATAATAAGATTAGGTTTTATGTCTTCAGGATTAAAATTAAGGTCCAATAGCTTTCAGTCACACAGTAAGTACGAGAGCCAATCTTTGAACTTAGTTGCATTATCATAAGGCCATTCGATGAGGGATGATTTATAGAGCCACTCCTTATGTTGTAATTGTTGAATCTGAATTTTGATCATATTACCTATAAGGCCAGTATAATTCATCATATAGAGGAGAGCTTTG